ACTGGATGTATTGGTAATTACATAATTAGTGCCAAAACATTTTTCTGTATATCAATATGTATTATTCAGGTAAATAAAATATCTGTAATCTATAATATAATGGGGTTAGAAATACTATGGCTTACATAATGCTCTAAGAAAAAAAAACCTCCTTTGAAATTAGAAAAATAGATTTTCAAGCCCAGAAGAAAATTCCAGTGCTAAATCCTTCACAGTTCAAATATTACATACTACATAAAAAATAACTTCCCAGCAGATGCAATAGCGCAGTGTGTCAATGTTACATGCAATAATAAATGGATAAGCAAAAACCCTGACAAAATTGCAAATCTGCTAAGAATTATTTCTTACAATACATTTCAAATGGTTGAAAATCCATACTGTATCACTTCAGGGGTCATGCAAACAACAAAACAGTATATTTTGAGCATTTGTTTAGAGATGTTATTTCCTTAGTCTGAAACTATTTGTACACTTCATAAACATATGCTTTGCCAGGATTCCATTGAAAGTGAAAAATAACAACAAAAGGATTAAGCAATTTATGAAACTAGTTGCTCAAATGTACAACAGCGCATATACAGAGCCAGATTTTCCATATTTTGGAATAGGAAATAAAATTGTCACTAGTGTGTGTAAGGTTTACAAGATACATAAAAGGAAAGAAGGAGGGAGGGAAGGAAGGAAAGTGAAGGAGAAAAGGAAGGATAAAAGGAAGAAGGGAAGAAAATGTATAGCTGTAACTTCTTTGATTATCACCGTCAATAAAAAAATCGAATCACAATTAACTAATAGGTTATTTCCTGTAGTAATTAAATGGTGGCCCTAGAATTTGAACTCATAGTTTTCAAAGCTAGTATTAGGTTATAGTATGATTGGAGAAGACACTTCCTTTAGAGTTCAAGGAAATTGCCTAAATTGTGAAATACAGTTTTAAGCTCTATCACAAATAATAATGGTTGTGGGAAAATCATCTAATCCAGTGTTGCAAAGAAAGAGACAAAGCTCTCAGTCATGTGATGACTGATCACAGTTAATCAGATGAGTAACTTGGAAGTCAAGGGCTGCTTTCTCGTTCTTCTAATACTACTCTTTGTTCATTGTAATACTTGAATTACTCTAAATATTTAGAAACTGCTTAATGAAAGAAATTTTGTATTATTGTTATTATTATTATTTTTACTTCTACATCTCCAACACCTAAGATAAGATACATATTAGGTACTCAACAGCATCTGTTAAATAATGAAGAATAAATTAAGGAATGAATTTTCAAAGTTCTGCCAATGCTTTTTAAGGGAATAAATCCAGATGATAAACAACCTTCAGTTCTTTTCCTTTAGGTAGCATTTTTAAGCTAAAGGCTATCATATACTTAAATTTTGGTTCCACCTTTTCTAGCCAATGATGCCTATCTTTAATAATTAAATGGTCCTGCTATAGTTTAATTTTCACATGAGGGACAATGAGGAACAAGTATGCAGGATACAATAATGTATGAAGAAAAGTAAAATTCTATGTACAGAAATTATTTTGCATAGACTAAGAATTTTTCAAAAGTGATAGTTGTTTTTTGTTTTTTGTTTTTTGTTTTTTTTTTTTCACTTTACCTCTTCCACCACAGACATTTATATACAGACAATATGCTTTACTTCACTTGACATGAAATGTT